CAACACTACTCCTCAGAGTTAAACCTGATATTTAGTAGGTCTGTTAAGTATCGAATGCTGATAATTCTGACGTAATTTGGCCGGTCAAAGTTGTTTGGGCTCGGATAAAATCGCTCCGTTACTTTGGTCCCGTGTTACTTTCGTCCCGGCTCTCCCTACGTGTGTATGTGTGGTGTCAGGTGTCAGTATGAGAGGATGCCAGCGCGTCTAATTTGGATGTGGCCCAAGAGCCAATCACAATAATACCTGCGATGCAGTGAACCAATCACCTTTGAGGGGGGGAAAACCTATCGTTGATTAAACATTATCCAGTGTTTCCCCTACCATTGTCTTGGAGGGGCGCTGCACCCCGCCAACGGAGCCCTGCGCACCCCCTGAAATTCAAGGTGTTTAAAAAATATATATAATTTTTTTTTTTTAAATATATTATATAGCACCAAATTGCAAATAATCTATAACTACTGTCACTTTTCACATTGAACATGAGCTCTTTTATTAAATAAACTAAACGCTTTCATTTCAAGTTGTGAGTTTAGTGTTTTTGACCCTAAGAAACACTGATGCATTAATCAATAACAATAATCCACAGCTCCTCTCTCTGCTCCAGAGGATTTAAAAAATATATATCCCAATGCCCAAGCCCGCCTTAACCTGCCATCAGGCCCTGGGGCTTTTTTTTTTTTTTTGGTTTTGTAGGCCCCCTATTTAAACAACAAATCAAAGTCCTTTATAGCCTCGGCAGGCTCTGTGATCGCACTTCTCCACTCTGCCACGCGCGCCTGGTCCTCTCCTCCAGATGAGTGACGTATCGGGCCTCCCTCATGTATCTGTCCGGTTGCCGTTGGCTCCCCTCCACATAGCAAGTCCTCGTCGTCCTCTCCATCTCCTCCATCATCCCTCCTGTCTGTTTTTCCTCTCCCGCTACTCCATCGCTATCAGAAGCAGACGGCCTACTTGGCTCCGAGGCCCCGCGGCCGGCACCGCTGCCGCTCGGTACAGAACTCATCTGTCCTTCCTCTTCATCCTGGCCTACAGGTTTGAAACAACCTGTAAGTTTCGGCATTTTTTGTAATAGCTGCTTGTCTCAAAACTACTTTTCCCTCAACAATTTCCTTTTCCGAGTGCCACTCTCAAACTTTTTCTTCTCAAACTTTTTCTCCTAAACAACCTTCATCTGTCACTCAATCACTCGCAATTTCAATAAATCACATGTGAAACATATTCTCATTCTGATTGGCTGTTAGGTGGTGCCCACTGACTGTTTCGGAGTCATCATTTTTGAGAAAAATCTCTGGAATCCATCGATCTGATTGATTAGCGGAGCAAATTATCAAAATACTACGGAGGGAAGATATTTTCGTTTGGATTACTGGTCTGGGGGAAGCTCACAAGTGTGTGTGTGTGTGTGTGTTTGTGTATTTTTGCATTTGTGTGTATTGTGTTTGTTTCCCGGGGAAAACACTCACGAGAAACACCGGCTGTTGTCATGCCTGCTGTTAGTATTATGCCGAAGCTTCAAAGTTGTATTTATCATCTGAATTTGCCGAAACAAGTTTAATATTCTGAAAGCCAAGACTTTGTTTATTTGAAACCAGATGAAAACAAACTGTCACGGACCCTGCCGTGTTATCTAAGATTACTATACGCCTTACATTCATAATTTCAGCGGAGGGAGGGGAACAGCAGAACAGCAGAGTGGCGAGGGAGAGCTGTCTTCTTCCCTTTACAAGCTTCAAAAATGTATTTATCGTGTGATTTTGGAAATAAAAGTTTAATATTCTGAAAGCCAAGACTTTGTTTATTTAAAAGAAAATTAAAAACATCCGAAATTAAAAAAAAAATTGGCTCATGATAGGCCCCTGATCTCCGTAGGCCCCTGGGCTTCAGCCCAGGTCAGCCCGTGCATTAAGGCGGCCCTGCCAATGCCACAAAAATGCATCAGTGACGTGGTTGAAATCTTGTCTCCAGAAAACAAAAAACTGAAACAAGCGGTATCAGTGTGTTTGATGTGGCTCTTTGCAGTAACATAGAAAAAATGTGGCTCTTAACCTCTGACTGGTTGGCCAACCCTGGGCTAGAGTATCGTTAGTATAGTATAGTAATAGTAGTAGTAGTAGTAATAGTATCGTTTTTTTTAGGCTAGAGTCTAGCCTCTAGGGGCAAAACAATTACCTTCATTTTAAAATTCCTTTGCTTCTAGCACTCCTAAAAAACAGGAAAAGGGTAGCAAAATAAAGATCTGGTTAAATTTAAAAGGTCACCCAGAACATACTGGAGGCGATTTCAAGCCATTACAGTTAAAAAAAAACCCTGATCCATTACGCATACACATAAATCCAGTAGAGACTTAAACTCACAGTGATTGTGCAGTATTGCCCTCTAGAGAAGAACAACATCTAGTTAGATTCTGTCTTTACATCCATTACAAAATGTCATTTGTGGAAGCCGTGGCGCTGTAAAAAGCACGACCAATCATCTGAGCCGGCCCGGCAAAAATAACTGGATGGCCTACCTGCCTGTCAGCCTTCCATCTGTGCACAAACTTATCTTGTGCCCTCATTGGTCATGTGCGCGTTCGTGTGTGTTGGAGGAGGGGCTCTGTGAGGAAGTGGCAGATTTTTTCCGGCTGTGTATTTTCAAATTCTAGCACATTCTAGCTGGTTTCTCCAAAATTACCTACCCCACCTTTAACAGCTATTAGATCTGGTTAAAAAAAAAAAAGATTCGTTAAATATAGAAATAGTTTCCAGAAGAGTCTCAGTGTGATGTGCAGTTTTAGCCACTAGGGGCAAAAAAATAACCTTAATTTAAAAAAAACTAAAACAATTCCTTAGCTTCTATCACCCCTAAATAACAGGAACATTTCAGGATATATATTTAAACAGTTAACATTTATTAGATCTGTTTAAACATTAACCTGTTACGGGCCGGCCACACTACAAGCGTAAAATTCGCTTCCAACGCCCCAAGATTTACGCTTGGGGCGTTTCTTCGAGCCCCGCGACCAACAACCAATCAGAATCTCCATGTGAATCTCCCGCCCCGGACATACAAAGTGAAAAACCCCGGTTCTTCTCCACTATTGCTAAAATGGATGCCGGTGTTGTAGCAAGGGTAAGCAGGGTAACTCGTGTGTGTGCAAGGTTGCATTTAGTGTATACATGGTCTCGCATGAGGCCGTGTAGTGTGCGTCGCTTCTGGGTACACCCGATACTCCGAAAGCGTCTACAAAGGGGGGAATACCACCTTCTCGTCCAGGAGCTCCGTCTCGATGACCGCCTTTTTCAGAGGTACTTCAGGATGAGCAAGGAGGTGTTCGACGAGTTGCTCGGAAAGGTGGGCCCACTGATTACAAAGGTGGACACCCATCTGCGTATGTCAATCGGCCCCGCCGAGCGACTCGCCATCTGCCTACGGTACGTTTTGTGTATTTCTACTTCTTTAATCTGACTCTGTATAGAAGGAGAGAGAATGCACGAATGATGACTGAAGTCTGTGATTTAGTTCAGATGGGTAACATTAATTAAGATATCTAGGTAAACACAGTATTGCTCCCCTGTGTACATGGCGTGTGTGTCTGTGTCTGTGATCAATGTGTGTGTGGGGATCTGTGTGTCTGTCTGTGTTCAATCTGTGTGTCTGTGTTCAATGTGTGTGTCTGTTCAATGTGTGTGTGTCTGTGTTCAATCTGTGTGTCTGTGTTCAATGTGTGTGTGTCTGTGTTCAATGTGTGTGTCTGTTCAATGTGTGTGTCTGTGTTCAATGTGTGTTCAATCTGTGTCTGTGTTCAATGTGTGTGTCTGTGTTCAATGTGTGGAGGGGGGGATCTGTGGTCTGTGTGTGTGTGGGGTCTGAATAAATATATTTTGTAATCATGTATATATCTTTTTTTCTCAGGTACCTGGCAACTGGTGACTCGTACGCGACGATAGCCTTCAGCTATCGGGTCGGGCGTTCTACAGTGGCAGTCATTGTCAAGGAGGTTGCGGGGGCCATCTGGACCGCCCTGGTCGAGGAGTGCATGCCGGTACCACAGGTGGAGGATTGGAGAGCCATCGCTGCTGGGTTCCAGGAGCGCTGGGAGTTTCCCAACTGTGTTGGTGCCATAGATGGGAAGCACGTCGTTATCCAGGCTCCAGCAAATGCAGGTTCCCTCTACTTTAATTATAAGTCCACCCACTCCTTGGTACTGCTGGCTGTGGTGGATGCTGAGTACCTGTTCAGGGTAGTGGATGTTGGAGGCTTTGGGAGGAGCAGCGACAGTGGGAGCCTGCGGAATTTTGCATTTGGAGAGAGCCTCCGAGACGGCAGTCTGCAGCTACCACCTGACACCGTCATCGCAGGATCAGAGCGGCGGGGCCCTCTCCCCCATGTCTTCGTTGGAGATGAGGCATTTCCGCTGCTGGACAACCTTCTGCGTCCATTCCCTGGACGTCACCTCACCCGTGAAAGGAGGTTATTTAACTACCGCCTCAGCCGTGCCAGGTTGGTGGTTGAATGTGCGTTTGGCATCCTCTCAACCCAGTGGAGAATGCTCAGGCGTGTCATCACCACCAGCCCCGAGGTGACGGAGTTGTGTGTGAAGGCTGCCTGTGTGTTGCATAACTTCCTCCGCAGGAAGACCATTGATATGCCATCACGCACACCTATCGCAAGGTCCACGGATGAAGTTACTCCAACCCTGTGTGATGCACCGAGGATGGGCTCCAACAATGCCACACGGCGATCCATCCAACAGCGGGAGACCTTCTGCTCCTACTTCAACGAGGAGGGGGCAGTGCGATGGCAGGCAAATGTGGTGTAGGCCCATATTTGTCTCCAAACCAAAAAGCTCTTTTAAGAGCTACCCATTTTCTTTAAAAAGCAAATATTCCAAATGAGCCATTTTAAAATCAACCATTCCTAATAAACATGTTTCTTGAATTGATATCATGATATAACTAACAACCTTTTTCCTTCAGCCCTGTTTTTAGTGATAAACTACTCATAATTTTCATCAGGGTTTCACCTGAATAATTACAGAAGACAGCACATTATATATCGACATACAAGAAGCTCCTGGTATGTTGTAACTGACAAACCACATGAACAAGTCAAGACACAGTATAGCCATAACATACTTTTAAATAACTTTTATTTATGTGATGTTGTGTGTGATGAGTGATGAGTGTAAAAAGATGTAATGTGGATCAGTATCAGTATCAGTATCTAATTAATTAATTAATTATTAATGTCCATTTCTGTGGCCTCCAGGACCGCCTCTTGTAGCTTCATTTTCAGTCTCATGCTGCTCGTCCTGCTCAGCTTTTGCATTGCAGGCCAGAGACTCCTTAAAAAAAGGAGGTCCTCGTCTTCCACCTCCACCACTGGTGGTGGCATGGCCAGCATCGGGCCTACGGCCGACAGCAGGTTCTCCTCAAAAGGGGACATCTCCCTTCCCCTGCTCTTCTTCCCCCGGAATGCTGGCACACTGGCCGGCACACCGTCTGGCACACCGTCTGGCACACTGGCCGGCACACTGGCCGGCTGACTGGCCGGCTGACTGCTACCTGGCTCTGGCTGGCTTTCCAGACTGTCATCCAGGCTGTCACCCATAGAGTCTTCCTCTTCTTCTGCTCCGGTGGGTGGAGGCAGGGGTTGCCGGGGGAAATTGCTGGACGTCTCACGGTCCAGCATGAAGGGCTTTAAAAAGCTCATTACTGCCGCGAGACGCCAGGGCTTAGATCCCCCGGAAGCCCCTGCCCCGCTACTTTTCCCTTCCTTCTCCAGGATCCTCTCCCTGCGGTATCGGTCCCTGAGGGACTTCCAACGCTTTTTGCACACTTCGTCTAATAAAATGAAAATGAAAATGAAAGAATACAGTTAATTTCTTGAATTTCAGAAAATGATTGCTCCATTAATGAAAACCAAATCCCTTTCAATTGCATACAAGGTTTTACATGTCACACTTTATCAGAATCAAAAACAGGTTTATTGCCAGGTAGCTTTGCACATACTAGGAATTTGACTTGATGTCATGGTGCATATATACAAAACAAGAAATCTAATATAAAACACAACATGTATTGTACAGTTAAATTGCAAAAAGATAAAAATTAAATAAAGCAGTAATTTACATGGAAATAGAATGCTAGGAATGAATTTTTGCATATATATATATAACTAAGAAATGTGAAAGGAGTATGACATTGTGTGCATTAATGTAATGCAATATAGTCTATGATGTGGCAGCGGATGATTAACATGTATGTGATTAATGTCTATGGCGCTATTTTATGCTAAATATACCGGCTATGTTTCATTAGCTATGTTAACATGAAGTAAACTGGATATAAAATCCCCAAACAGGCGAAAACCTACCAGTTTCCCCCACTGTCTCTGCCACCTCCTTCCATGCCTGGTTCCTCTGGTTTCTATCCCGGTAGGTGAACAGGGTCACATCAAATAATACAGGGTGATTCGCTACCGCTATCTCTCCCAGCGTATGCGCGGTTTTTGATTGGCTACGGCTTGAGCTGTCAGATTTTCTGAAACGGGATTTGATTGGCTTACGCTCACTTGTCAGGAACCGAGAGAGCGTTTCGTGCGTAAAAAGTTCAACATTGTTCAACTTTTTACGCGCGAGACGCTCTCAAAGTTACGCTTGCCTTCCCGTGATGCAGTTCGGCGAAAACGTGAGCGGACGTGACGTCACCCCATTCAAAGTGAATGGGCAGACGCGCTAGAGGCGTAATTTTACGCCTGAAACGCTTGTAGTGTGGAGGGCCCGTTAAGCAACATTTTCACAAAACTGTGTCTCAGGGCTTCTTAACATTTGACAACCTATTAATGTGTCATACCCACTTAACGGGAAGACACTCAGCTAACTGACGATATGAACCATTTCTACCGAAACAAAACACAACTCTAACACCAAGCGTATGAATTAGCACTAAGCGAAAGAGTGCTAACGCACTTAACTCACGGTAGAAATATGTTATACTTCATCGAATCTGCACAAACATATCATAAGCTGAGATTCCACAGATTCCAATGATATAAGTATCATCACTGTGTATGAGAGCTTCCGGTTTTGGACATGCTGGCTGCGCATCACTCTCATTCACCAATGGTAATGTTAAGATGGATTTAGGAACTTTCTCTCGATTCTATTGGCTCTAACGGTTCAAAAGAGGTGTCAATCACCAACATCGACCAATGGGTTCCAGAGATATGGCAAATACACCCAAATGACCCCATACTGTAGTTGGGTTTTCTTTTTCTAAATCTCTCTAAAAAGGTCAAATTTCACTTGTTTTGCATCAATCTTGATACAGGGTACTTATTATATGTTATAGTCTGGATTCCTAAAGCTTTTTGTCTCCAATCCCATAATTCAAGGGTGGTTTTCACCCCCTTCTACCTCACACAATTACTGCAACTCAGCACACCCCCGAAGCACAACACCCGGTCAACTACAAGCATCCTATTAAGCCCCTGTCAGACTGTCCCGAAATGTACACCCGATGGACACACGAATATTGAATTGTGAATTTCGCACGAAGATGGCCCCGAACCACACACAAAGGCAACATTTACATTACATTTAAGACATACAACTGCAACGAAAGTAACACAAACAATTATGTTACAGTACTATGATACTGTACTGATATCTTCAGACTTTGTTCTTTACTTTCTCCGTCTTTATATGTAGAAGATATTACGTTTTCTCCGTCATGTTGTTGTTTCCATAGCAACAACAACTTCCTGTCAACTCGCCTTCAAAATAATATATTATATCCTTTTCAGTTTCACAGAACACAAATTGGGTTATTTACATAATATATTTACATCATTTTGTTGTGCAATAAAACAACCAGATGGACACAGGATAAAGGAAATGTTCAAATTCGGCTCTGATCGTAGCAACATCGGGCCATTCGTGAGGGCATCTTAAGCCTTCGTATGACCGCCGGTGGAGTTTCTCAGGCTCCGGTGTTACCGTTTAACTGGTTACACCGGGGAACTCGTTACGTTACGTTAACGGTAGGAATGGGGCGTGTACTTTGAGGAGCCATTGTCGAATAACCAGGAAATACACATTTCGATCGCTTCTTTTGTTGTTTACATTTATCTTTTGGTATATTTGGCTCCATGGGAACACTTTGATGCACATTCAGTACCAGTGTGTGAGGTTGTGGTTGGGATGCCGATATCCGTACGCGTAGCTACAGCGAGGACTACAAAATGACAATGAGGTGACTGGGGATGTCTGTTCAAAACATTGCAAACGTGAATAAATCATTTCAAATATGTATTTGTCTCCGACTTTCATTTGTACATCGTTGTTAATGTGATGTTTAGTAGCTTTGATAGCTGTCCATACCTCCAGACAGCCTAAAAATAAGACACAAGTTGTTTACTCACAGCCCGAATGCAGCATCGAGATCCGTGGCCAGCTGTGATCCTCTCCGATTAACTTGTGACAGGACTTCTTTAGCTATTCTCCAGCGAGCAAGGTTTTTATTAAATACCTCCATTCCTCTCATCACAACAAGACTCTACACTGTGCAGAAAAAAAACAACATAAATGAAAATAACCATACGGAGCACGGAGCAGGAGGATGCTGGCAGGTGTGGTACAGGGTGTGGCAACGCAGGTGGTGATGGTAGGAGCACAAGGAGCTGTGCCTCGGAAGCAGAGTTGGGTGTAACGCGTTATAAAGTAACGCGTTACTGTAATAATATTACTTCTGTCGGTAACGGAGTAGTGTAATGCGTTACTTTTATAATTCAGTAATCACACTACAGTTACTAACATTGCCCCGACACGCGTTACTTCGTTACTTTTATAAAATAATCACACTCACTGACAGACAAGAGGGGTTTCCGCCGCAGGTTTATATCGGTTTATATACATGTAGGCCTACGTAATCTGCGCGACTTGCGAGACCACATCTCCACGTGCAGTGCTGCATAAACATGGCTGAGTCTTTTCATCTGTAAACTCCCTCAACGGGGCCGCTCGCTCTCTTTTGTTGATCGCCCTCTCACGGGTGAACAGTTCAATGTCCCGCTTTATTGTAGGAATTCTGCCATGTTTCTACCACTTTAGTTTGACCATCTCTGTTACTAAGTTATGGAATACTAAATAAGTAATTAGGATAATGCGTCTTGAACTGGTTTCATTCATTAGTGTCTTGACGTTTCACAGACTGTTAGCTTGTTATGTAGCTGGTAGCCTATTTTAGAGCATATAAAAAGAAAGACACGTGTTATGTCTTCCTTAATGCAATAGTAATTGGGGGTGCAAGTGGAGTCTCGCAGAGGCAAAACTGTGGCGCGTTTACACTGTAGGTGCGCCGCAGTCTGCGTGATCTGCCTGTAGGGAGGGGCGGGCCGGCCCTGCGAGTAAAGTAACGAGTAAAGTAACGAGTTACTTTATGCAGAGAGTAACGAAGTAGTGTAATATATTACTTTTTAAAAAGTAATATATTACATATTACTTTTTAGTAACGACCCCATCTCTGCTCGGAGGACAGCGTTGGTGGCGGCCGCCTTGATGAGTCAAGGCTTGGGCTCGCTAACTCAGCCCCGGGGTTTGCCGAGGTCAAGCTTGTGACATTAAGGCGTGCTGCTGCAACGGCAGGTGCAGGGTCGCCAGCAGTACCATCGACTGCAGTTCTTTCATCGCTATTTCGTTTTAATAAATCCTTAGACCTTTTAAGCCAATTTCTGATGTCCATTTTGTAATTCAAACAGAAATGGGAGTCTACAGAATGCACAATAAACAAATCCAGAATAGGCGGCAGAGTGTGACGCTGTGATTGGTCTAAATGTGGACGAATCACAAATCACAACAGACACATTAATTTATTTGACGTAGCTTGCGATTTTTTTTAGTTACTATCTGACATCACATACATCGTAGCATAACAGTTCACCGTTTATTTATAATTTAAAAAATATATATATATATATTTTTTTTTTAAGTTTTAAATAATAAAAAACGTGTTTATTTGGGGAGGGCAGGAATATCAAATGGGAGGGCCTGGCCCTCCCTGGCCCTCCCACGGCGCCGGGTATGAGCAGCCTGTGACTATGAACAGTGTGTATGAATATGCTAAG